GTATAGGCCAAGATTCATATTAAAGGCTTGGTACAAACAGTATTGTTGCCATAAATCCTGAACATGAAGTCATTTGATTAGGGGCTAATTTGAAATTACCACTGCTATTTATACGTACATTGGAAGTAAATTAATAACACTCTAACACCATTCTAAAGAAATGTTCCAACTACTGTTAATAATAAAAGCTTTGGTAAAACTTTTAAAATTTATGTAATTAGGGCTAATAAGATAAAAACTTATTAGAAATAATCATATCAAACATTCTTGTTTATTTATTTAAGCAGACATAATAAAAAATCTGACTCCAACCTACCAGACCAAACCAGAAGGAAAGGAATTCCAAAAGAAGCCTTACATAAAGAGTCATAAATAATGACTCACTATTACCTTATTTACGACCACTAATTTTACCATATTTACTTACCATTGACCTCAACCTTGTTTTAGCAACAAAGTTTTATTTTCAAATAGCTGCCAGTCACTGATACTGATACCTGAACAATAAACACGTCCACTAAGTATCAAATTGTTAGTTTAGTACAGCTGGAAACAACAAAATGCTGTGTAAAATATACTGTAATTCAAATATTCCTTAATTTCATTTATTGCCTATCCTTTAGCTGATATCTGTCTAAAGACAAAATAATTTAAATAGTGACCCAGCTTTAATTTTAAAAGTTAATAATCAAAGATACCTTTCTTTCCTCTGTAATATTTTGACCTAGAAGAAAACCATGGCTCCCAAATTTTGAAATACTGTCTGTGTTTACTAAGGTCATCCTCTTTTTTCTTCAAATTCAATCCATATTTGCAGTGAAGAGGATCCAATTCAGAAAGAAGAGTGGGATTTCAGTTAGAGCAGAAGAAAACACCTGCCATTAATCCCAAGAGCACAAGTGGGGTCTGGAGTGTCCGAGGCAGCCACCACAGCTGTGAATGGAGGTTGACCTCTGCTTTGGTTCTGTCTTGAGCTGGCAGGTGCCAGGACGCCATTCAGTCTGCTCAAAAACAACCTCTTTTGAAACAGCAGTATTTTATTGCTCAATTGTGAATGCAAATTTTTATGTGTTCATGAATTAAGGATCCTTTCTTATGGCAAGCTGTCTAAAGAAGTCTAGTTTCCATATGTGATTTTGGCATTAGTTATTGAACTTTGAGGAAAAAACTCATCCCTGCTCACCAGTGTAAATTGTTTTAGAAAAGTTTTAACCTCAAACATGCCATAAAACCTAATGAAGTGCCTTTAGAGGACTGGTACAATGAGAGGCTTGGCCTCTGAAATCTCACCTGGAAAAAGAAACTAAACTTTAAGAAGAAGAAGCTTTTGGGGGGAAAGGGGTAGGAGCAGGGGAGGAGTTCCACTGTAACGTACATAAAGTAAGTAACTTTATAGTAGCTGGATTTTCTAGGCGAGTTTTTCTTAATGCTAGTAGTAGGAAGTGTTTAACTATAGCACTAGACTATTAAGCTTTTCAAAACAGACCATTCATGTTTTCTAAATTAGCTTCTCCCACCATATCTTCTATCAGTGCCTAGAACACTGCCAAACTTTTTATAGGCATTTGTATTTAAATAAATCAAAATAGACTTAAATAACATGTTATTTAAATCAAGACTGGAATCTCCATTGTATTTCTTAAACTGAATGGTAGGTATTCTCTCAATGTTTTTGGGGGTTTCCTTTGTCTCACCAAAAATAAAACCCTACTTGTAGAGCATTAGAGAACATTTTATGTGTGTTAAAAATTATCAAATAAATTCTTTAGACTTAATTTTACAGGGGTAGTCACATAGTCTATACCAATTAATCACTACTTGGTTCACTGAAAACATTAATAAAACATTAAAATTTTACTGAAAACATAAAGAAAAATGATTTCCTTCGTTTCCCTTTGTTTTAATGGCACAATTATTTTGGGGCTAAGAGAAACAAGAGTTTGTTTAGTTGATTCTGTTATCTTAGCTCCCTCTCTCTCTCTCTCTAAACCTCCACAATTACTCTTTATCTCATTTTGTACTTGAGATCCTGGGGTCACTACAAGATACTTGGAAATGTAATTGGGAGCCATTTCAGAAGGCATCTGTTGAAGGCAGGAACATAGTAATCATTCTTTATGAAAATATAATTCTAGAGCTCTGTCCCAACACTTATCATCCTAACCCAGTCACACAGACTAGGTTAAAGTCCTGGCTAACTCACTTGCAAGAGGTCTAACCTTGATAATCTTTGAATTTTATTTTTGGCATCTATAAAAGGAATATCATAATACTCTCTTCATTGGATCGGGACAAGATTAAATACAGTAACAGGTGAAAGTTCTTTGTTGATGGTAAAATATATAAACTACAAGACATGATATTATTGTTATTATTAAATTCATGATAACCTCACAGCTGTTACCAGAAGTCTCACAACTGAGAGCAGGAATTTAGGACAGTTCTTCTGTAGCAGATACTTAGCAAGAGATATTTTAGTAGACTGAGTATTCCTACATTTCCACCTGAAATGACATTGCAAGGTCTTAGGAAGGAGTACTTTGCTAAAACCTTGGCTGTGCTTCTAGTCTAGACTTAAACTTGTTTCCCAGCCTTTTAGTCACTCCCAGGTGAAGGTGAGAGATTGATTGAAGGTAACTTTGAAATGCTCTAGTTTCTCAAGTAGGCTGAGCTGAAATATGATTTCAATTTTAAGAGCTGGGGGGTGGGGAGTATTGATGCCTCTAGAAATAGTATGTCCTGCTAGCATTTTTGTTCAGAGATGAAGAAAATCTCAATGTGGCTTAAGAATAGACAGCTGCCCAAAAAGTAGAAAATCCCCAAAAGAGCCACATCTTTATGGCTATCTGATTTATGACAAAGATAACACTGTACTACCATGGGGAAAAGATTCATTTTCAATAAATGGTGTTGGGTTAATTTGATCCACACATAGGAAAAAAAACCATCTTGACGTTGACCTCACATCATGCACAAAATCAGTTCTCCATGAATTCAGATCGGAGTATGAAAAATAAAGTAATAAAACCTCTATTTTTTACTTTATTTTTTTATTGTTGGTTTTCTTACTTTGTTTTGTGTACCATCCCATCCCAAATAATATAAGTTTAATGTACAGTATTATATTTACTTTAGGTGTACAATATAGTGAGTCAACAATTCTATACATTACTCAGTACTCATCATGATAAATGTACTCTTAATTCCCTTCATCTATTTCACCCATCCCCCCCTCCCCTCTGGCAACCACCAGTTTGTTCTCTAAAGTTAAAGTCTGCTTTTTTGTTTATTTTTTTGTTGTTTCTTTTGTTTCTTAATTATCACATATGAATGAAATCATATGGTATTTGTCTTTCTATGACATTTTATTTAGAATCATACACTCTAGATCTATCTGTGTTACCACAAATGGCAAGATTTCATTCTTTTTTATGGCTGAGTGATATTCTAGCATATATATATATAACATCTCTACTTTACTTATCTTAATTTTTAAAAAATTTGATTCCAGTATAGTTAACATACAGTGTTATAGTAGTTTCAATAAGGCTTTTAGCATTTAGAATAAACATAAAAGAACCTCTTTATGTCCTTGAAGTAGCAAAGATTTCTTAAATGAAATACAAAAAGAGATAAAAAGAAAAAAATGCTAAATGGAGTTTTATTAAAATTAAACTTCTGTTCATCAAAACTCAGTTAAGAGAATATACACAGTACACAGAGTGGGAGAATATATTTGCAAAAAATAACTGATAGAAAACTCATATTCAGAATAATGTAAAGTACTCTCATACCTCTCTCTTGATACATACAGATATTACAATTTGTAAAGAACTTCAGTAAGTCTAAAGGACAACTCAATAGAAAATGGGCAAAAGATATGAATAGACACTTTGGGTGAAGATGCAAAATGGACAAAACATGCATTAAAAGGAGTTAAGCTAATTAATCCCTGAAGAAATACAAATTAAAACAGTGTGAAACTACTACACCTCCCACCATAATGTCTAAAACAAAAAAAGATGTAAAATACCAAGTATTGGTATTGATATAGGGGCACTGAAATTCTTGTATACTCGTGATGGGAGTATAAATTGTTAGAATCACAGTGAAAAACTATTTGTCAGTACCTACTAAAGCTAAACATATTAGGTATTTTCTATAACTTAATAATTCCACTCCTAGATTTACACCCAACAGAAATGCATACAGTTTTTAATCAAAAGACATAAACTTAGATATTTGTAGCAGCACTATTTTCAGTAGTCAAGACCTAGAAACTCCTGGAAACAAATGGCATCAACCAAGTAGGATAAACAAATAAATTATGGTTTATTCACATGATGGAATATTATAAAGCAGTAAGAACAAACTATCTACAGCTACATACAAAATTATGCATACATTTTACACTTACCGAGCAACGGAGGTCAGATGCATACTGGTATGATTCCATTTCTGTAAAGTACAAAAAGAGACAAACTATTTTGTCAGAGGTCAGAAATAGTAGTTGAGAGTAATGATAAGAAAATGTTACCATAAGCCCTCTAGTTTTCCTTAGCTGGGTTCTACTTGCATAGGTACATTTAGCTTGGGAAAATTTATTTTGCATATTATATAGTTATGACATGTGGACTTTGTGCACTTTTCTCTGTGTGTGTAGTATGGCAGTATATATAGTATATGCTATGGTATAGTACTATACTTTATTGGTATGTGTACCAGTGTGGTATAGTACCATGCATACTGGGTGATGATATATGCCATACTATAAATACCATTATACTATATATATAATAGTATATGTATTATACCACTTTCACATTCTAACCATCTTATAATTATACTTTGGAACCTAAAATTCCTTGATAAACCTCACTGATGGGTATACCTCTTTGCCCTTTGCATGAATCTTGCAGATAACTAGCTGATCTATTTAAGTTATAATTTTTTGAAATTTATTAAAAAGTGTTTTCTTTTTTTCTTTCTTATTTTTTTAGGGCCCTCCAGGTCCAAAAGGTGATAAGGTAAGAAAATATTTAGCAGAAACAAATTAAGTTAGTGTAAATCCATTGGTATGGTCTATGCTATGTTGCATTTTGGTCTTTTTAATGCATGTCACATATAGCCTTTACACTAAAACTATTTATCATCTCATCTTCCTATTCTACAGGGAGAACAAGGTGATCAGGGACCTCGGGTAAGTTGTATTCTTCCAATCCTGGGTAGAAAATTAATTTTCAGCTCCAAACTTATTGAATTAAAGTAGCTTTGGCTTTATAACTGCGTTTGTGTCATGGTTTAGAAATAGCTGGCAAAAAATGCCATACCACTTGTAAGTGAAATAGCCTTAATAATAATTAATGGATAAATCCTGTAGCATTGCTTTAACTTGATACCTGTAAATAGGACACTGTACAATAATTAGCCCTCTGATGAAGGGCCAGAATCACTACTAAAAAGTCAATAACAACCACCATTCCCTTGGCTATTGGATCCTTCAGATTTGCATGCATTGTTTTGCAATAATGAGGCCATTTGGATTCCTGTTGAATTTGACCTTTTTCTGCAGTTAAACTTTATGTGCTATTGCATAAATATGTTATATTATAGATGAAAATATTAATGCATGTTATATTTTTATTCTTCATCATAAATTTGAATAATACTTATTTGAATTTCTTATTTTTATAGATTTTTAAGCAGATAATAGGTGTAATATAACTTAGCATTCCAGGGAGGAGGGGCATTCTTTTATTCTTCTCAAATGTGGCTTTTTTAACCATTATAACACAATGGTGAATGCTTTGTTGTTACCTTGGCAGTGCCAAGTCCTATGCTTCACATCTGTGCCTTATTACCCAAATGTTCAGACATACTGTTCCAATGATGTAGTGGCTCCGTTCAGACATACCTCTCAATTTTCTCATGTCACTATGCACAAGAGCAAGTATTTGGTTGAAGAGTCATTTTTTACAGTGGAAAAGCACATTTAAAACTTTGAGGTTGAAAACAGAAACTGTAGGGTTTTTGTTAAAATGCACTGTATGTTGTTAATTACTGAATTCATTTATACTGCAGTAGAGGTTTTATTGCAAAAGATGTAGTTGATGCAACTTGAAAAATTTTGGAGTCTTATCTCTTTGTGTTTATTAAACTAGATAAAATGTATGCCATGATTTGTTTTCCTTTCCACTCTTCAGCCATTTCTTTATATAAAAATAATGACCATGCCTCCGAGCATTTTGTTTCTCATGCAGTCATTCTAGCTGATGACTAGCTTCAAGCTAAAACCTCATGTTAGTGGTTGAGGAGATTAAACATCATGGTATCTGTTGTGGATGCGAATGGAATAAAATTCTCATAACCTTAAATGATTAGAGGATAGCCACTTGCTATGTATGTGGTGATTATTTCACATAGCACGTCTCCATGTATTGAGTATCATTTCTTTACACACGAAATCTCAAAATCACTTAACTTACCCTTTCCAGGTAAGAGAGAAACTGTTTCCATTCTGAGAAATCTTTTGGCAAAGGAAGTAAAGGGGTGGTTCGCAGCTTAGCTGTCATCAGCATGCACGCAGTCCTCATTTTCAAAAAGGTGTGTTGGCTTTCATCGTTCCAAAAAGTGATGATGGATGATAAAGCCAGGCCAAATTTTCAGGATGAAACCTGAAACCATGTGAAAATCACCTGGTTTCATGTTGCATTACAAACTAAGACTTGGACCAGTTTCCTTGCAAGTTTGGCCAAAGTTCATGAACTACTTTGACGAGCCTAGACTGCCTTTCATACAGATTTCAGCCAGTTTTCACACAGACTGAGGCCAAGTTTCACACGGTTCAGGGCCCATTTAGCATTTCAGGTGGAAAGTGGCAAAAATTGATCCCATTTTCCCCAGAATTTTGCTTTTTGTTTGAAGGCATTTGGATTGATTTTATCATGCAAGGTGAATCTTCATGGATTAAAAATCTAAAATGTCCTGGGAGGTATGTGTGAAATAGAATAAGAACCTACCAAATATCACCTTTTCTCAGATTCCTAATTTAGAAACAAGGCAGGTCACAGATAATGGTCCCCCAAAAATAAAACTTACTTTCTAGTAAGAAAGTATTAGCTACTGATTAGGAAATTTATCATATCAACATAGTAAAGTGAGTGGTTTATAATTTCCAGAGAAATCAAAAGTAAGTTAGAACAGGAAAGGTCTTCAATTTTAATGAGAATTCACTTTACTCACATCCTCTGTAGGCACACTATTCCAGCTAACATTCATGGAGACTCTCTTTTCTAAAATGTCGATCTTTGTATTTGAATACCCTGCCCATTTTTATCCTATCATAGTTTTTGAATTCAACTTTTTACCATTTGTTTCAAGTAATTTATTTCTTCTGTCATTAACAATATGACCCTTCACCATTTCAGTTCTTTGTTAGCTTATCAACTGTTATAGGATTTCTACTGTTTCCTTAAATAGGGGTTCCCCCCCCCCCCCCCTTTTTTTTCTTTCTGGCTTCCCAACTGTCAAACAGGAATATATTAAGTCATGTTATGCAATTCAAAACAGGAAAGTGTTGAAGATAATAAAGACATTAAGAAGGATAAAACTATTTGGAAATACTTGTACATATATTTAGCAATATACATTGAATTTCTTTTATCTTCAAGATACCATGCTTAATATTATAGAAACTATAAATGGATCCTCTTTCTCTCTCTTCTACTACCATCAAATTCAACCTACTATCATCTCATCTTCTTGACTATGGTGGCAGCCTTCCAAGTAATCTTGCTTCTACTCTTGACCCTGTATAATCCATTTTTTACACAGCAGCCAGAGAGATCATTTTGTATTATAAATCAGATCATTTTACTCCCTGGTTTAAACCTCAAGATGAAATCCAAACCCTTCATGAACCTTCAAGATCTGGCCTTTGCTTAAGTCTCTAACCTTATCTCACACCACTCTTCTCTTCCACCCGACCATGCTCCAGCCACAAAGTCCTCTATGTGTACTTCAGACACATCACACTCACTCCCAGCTGGATGACTTTCTATTTGCTGTCTTCTGGTCTTCTGGTGATTGAGATTTCATCTCAAATACTTCCTTGGTGAGACTTCTCCGACTACTCAATCTGAATCTGAGATTCTCCTATTTTGTTTATTTATTTACTTGCTTGTTATCTGTAAAACATGCTGTACCATTTACATAAACTCTATGAGAACAAGGGCTTGGTCTATCTTGTTTATACCATCAGCTAGAACAAGAAGGACTCAATAAATACTTGTTGAATGTTAAAATAAAATATTATTACATCATTACTGCCCTCAAGTTGCTGATAATCTCATGGGTACTCAAGTGAGAAAACTATTTGGTTGTGTTAAATGCCTTAAATAACAATACCAAGAGATGCTAGATAAGTAAAAATTCCTCCATTTTAAAGAATCATTGGACACAGTGGAAGTGGTGACACTTGAGCTAGGACTTGATAAATGGATAATCTTTAGAAGAGAAGATGAAGAGGGAAGACATTACACATTCCAGAAAGAAGAAATAGTATAAACAGTACTATACAATTCGGAAATGACAGGATTCATTTAAAGACAATAACATTTTTTATTTGCCAAGGATATAAGCTAAATATAGAAAAATTACATCATGTAGGCTGATTTTTTTTTTTTTACTGAAGTTATATTATGAAGTATTTTGAGTGTTTTAGTGTGATAGGCAGAAAGGAGACATTGAAGATTTTTTTAGTACATTATTTGATGTATATTACCACTGGACTCTTTGGTATTATTACCAAATGTTCTTTGTGAAAATCTTCCTGATGATGGTATCTCATATAGAGTGGAATTGAAAGAGACTTGAAAGAAGACCAGAAACTGTCAGTCACCCAGGACAAGTTCATAAGAACCTGGGCTGTAGGGGTAATGACCAGTCTTCAGGGAGAAGTGAGCAGAGAGGATGGGCTGGCTCAGTTTGAAACACTGAAATACCCCTTCCTTGGAGGTAAGGGGTCACATTCAGCAGAAAGCTCTGTCAGAATGAGAAGCTCAGCAGTGGGGAGGGGCTATGTTGGTGAGCCAAAGAAGGAATTCCAAAGAGTCACCAAAATATGAGAGAGAGCTCCATGTTTCTTATGCAGACTGCAATATTAGTTTATTCTTATATAATGAGAAGTTTGAAGAAGGTAGTTGGTGGTGTGATTAACATAATTCAATGATGTAACTATGGAAGCCTCTGTGAATCACTCTTGGCATTTCCTTTATGGTTGTAAGAAGGCTGTTTCAAGTCCAGCCATCACATATGTATCAGCAGGGAGAATAAAGGGGGAGGAGTCTTTATCAAGAAAACAAAAATTTTCCCATGAATTTCATAGTAGACTTCAGATCACATCTCATTAGCCAGACAGTGTCACATAGTTACTTTGTAGCTGGAAGTGAGCCAAAGAGATTGGTGTTGAAAAGGAAAGTTGGGTCATCTTGTAATCAAACCAATGTGAGTTTGCTCATTGATAAGTTACAGATAGAGACCACACTAAGTGGAGTTGTCACATAAAGGAAACATTATTTGCAGCATATAAGGAGATCACAAGGCATAATTTCCAAAGCTATGACTCACTGAGAAGGGGTGAGTGGGTTCCTTTTATTTCTGATTAGGATAAATATTCAGAAAAGGGGGATTTGCCATCACATATAAAGGCAGGCATAAGGTTGCACAGGCATACTGAGAAAACATGCTTATACATGCATTGTACATTATGTTAATCAAACTTGTGCTCCTCCTTGGGCAAAGCCTTTAACATTATACTGAGGCAAATCTAACTATTGGACAAGGGGAAAGGGCTATGGGAATCGTCTAGGAGCTAGTATAATTTGGGTGGGATCTTGGGCTCATTATCTCTCCAAGGCATTGCTTGAATGCAGGATCATACCTGTTTATATGCTGGAATCATATCAGTTGACCTTGAGTCTAGGTTTCTGTGGAGACTGCTATTGGATTTATTAGTGGGGTCTGAAAAGACACAATAGCTGATTGGGGGAAAATGGTTCTCTGAAAAACAAACCGAATTTTCTGCTAGTTTCAACTTCATTAGTTCTATGGGGCATGTTTTCAATCTCACCAATAGGAATTGCCACAAGTGCCAAACAAAAACTCAAAGAAGAAAAACCAGGGTTGACATTAGTAGAGGAG